TTACTCCACCTCCATTACAACCAACTAGACGTGGAAGTGGTGATGTTTTACTTTTGTGAAAGTGAAAGATGGATGTCGTTACATTACCGTTCAGTTTATGGGTTACAACAGAACGTGAACACACTAGTCCACTATCTCTGAAACGTGATTCTGTACTGTTCCCTGGTAATAAGGTCCGGTCAGAGACGGGGAATTATGTCACAGTGCTGAAGAACTTTATTTAAAACTGGCCCACATCGAACACACACTCTAGCTGGTAAGGATGTGGTTCTTAAATTAGTACAATAACATAAACATCTCTTTCAGTGGTTCAGCATCTCTCACATTAAGTACTACAGAGAACACCATTTAAGCGTGGACAGAAACGGACACCATGAAAAGATTATCATAAAGACATGACAGGATGGCTCATAGCCAATTTAGATTAAATCAACACCACCCTCTAGTGGACACAATTGCTCAATCAAATGCCGCTATGTTTACACAGGGGTTATTCGCAAGAACAGGTTCGTATGTTAGCACAGTAACTGCATCAGGTAAAACCTTTTCTGAACAAGTACTCTCCACAACAACAGAAAACAACTTAGAAATACCCTGTGAAGCCAGGCTACTATCTACTTTACTTCTACAGCATAGCTGTCACACAGGCAGTAGTAATGGGTGTCTACATGGGTAAATTAACTGCAACAGAAATAAAAAATAGGTTCCCAACGTGACTTACTGGTTCTATGAACGCACACTTATTAACATCAGCCCAAAGTATTGTTTATTTCTGTGCCTCTTTTCTGATCGCACGTTAAAAGAAATGCATGCGCAAATATTGCATTTTGAGAAGAAAGTTATTTTGTGCGAAGAAAAGTTTCATTTGAGGGGACAAAATTTATTTCTGCGTGCAAGAAATGTATTTTAGTGTTTGCTATTATTTGCTATTATTGCACACACAATGACAGCCCCTCTCGCTCAGTTGTTGGCATTTGCTCTTGCACAGATCTCTGCTGTGTGCTGACAGATACCTGCGGACCTGCCCTAGGTCTTCGTGCTCACATCTCTGCTTCGCGCTCAACTCTCTATACAGTGGTCCCTCGTTTATCGCGGGAGTTATGTTCCAAAAAACCCCGCGATAGATGAAATCCTCGAAGTAGCCAACTTTATTTTTTACAGTTATTATAGATGTTTTAAGGCTGTAAAAACCCGGACTACACACTTTATACATTTTTCTCAGACAGGCATGAACATTTTCACACTTTTCTCTCTTGTTTAAACACTCTCAAAGTTCAAACCTTCGTAGAAAAATAAGACCAGTATCACAGAATGAAACCAAACGTACCCGCAGGTGCCTTTGACGACGGTGCAAAACGTTTCGTCGACATTGTGGTGTTTGTTGGGGAGAAAACGTACAAACATACAGTACAGCATTTCAGAGTCACACCGCTAACGATCGAATATTTATATAAATTGGACAACTGAATGCATTCTCATTCTGTACTATAAAGGAGACAGAAGGCACGAGATTGATTGACAATGGTCTACAGCCAATCAGGACCGCGAGGCCGCGAAAGGTGAACCGCGAGGGACCACTGTACACCGTTATAAGTGTGCCACAAAACCTGCCAATCACAGACTTCGATGCAAAAATTCTGATTGGCTGTTACGGTCTCCAATCAGCTCGCTACCTACTGCATTCGGAAACGCGGTCCAGAATGTAGCTAAATCCATTTTCGGTGAGTATGTTTAATTATTTTATTTTAAAATATATAATTGTTGGTTTTAATCTAGTTTAAACCAAACCACTCCACTGGATTTAGCTAGATTCTGTCTTCTGCCTTTTTTAATCTAGACTTAAATGTATTGACTTTGTCCTGTCTCTACTCTCACCTGGCCACTGAGTATCCCCTTTTTTGACTTCACACAGCTTCAATCTGCAGATGCAGCCATTGACCCCTACTGTCAAATGTTCAGTGTGAGGGTATCACCTGGGAGGAGTGTGGGTTAATACTTAAAAAAACAAAAACAAAAAACACTACTGTGCAAAAGTCTTGAGTTGCTTTTCCTTTCTTTCTCTTTTGCTAGATAAGTGGGAAAGTCATTCCAAAAACATTAATGTAAAAATAATGTAATGTAATACCTGAGTCACTAAGCACATTTTTTGTTTCACTGTGTCACGTCACTCTCAGAAACATCTGATTTTCCCCAGCAGAATGCATTGACTGCATCCAGTTAACACACAGCAACTGCTCTGTATGAGACGTTTTTGTGTTTCTTACCGTGAAGCTATCTCCTCTGAACTGGTTGTCCACATAAATGCAAGACCTGTCAAAGTCTTTCATTTCTTCACTGGAACCGAGGGTCCTGGTAACAGCAGAGCAAAAAAGTATAATCACTGCAATGGAGGTTTCTTTCTATACAGATCTAACAATCTAAGAGTCTTCTGACTGTAACTAAACAGCCATCAATTAATTTTATGTTTTTAAATAAAGATGTAATGACTTGACTGGTTCTCGCTTCTCAAATGACATATAACTGTAGATGGTTTTAATTTTTTTGGCACATTAAATAAAGATGTAATGACTTGACTGGTTCTCGCTTCTCAAATGACATATAACTGTAGATGGTTTTAATTTTTTTGGCACATTATAACAAACTGTTTAATTGACAACAACGAATCAATGGAAATGGCAAAATGCATTATAATCAGCATATTAATCCTACCAGAAGAAGTCTTCTGCATGGCCCATGTTTGTCTTATAGTCCTTTCCTCCCACCTCCTGGGAGTGCAGGGCAATGAAGTGTGGCTTGTAGCTCTGGATAGTCTGTTATGAAGCAAAGCAAAAAGTCTCAGTGCAACGTACATGCTTACACTAAAGAGCACTGAGCGGTGTAGAAGGTCAATAATGATGATCGTCTCCAGGGAAGCCTTTTAATTTGTAATGTCAGATACAAGAAATTTTGTGTTTGCAATGCCGCCCAAGTTAAATAGAGCAGGAGCAGCTCAAACGTACTAAAATACCCCAAATTATACTTAAAAAAGAGAGGTTCAGTTATCTTAAGCAGTTAAGGTATAAAAAAGGTAATCACATATCATTCCTGTTAATAAATAAAAACAGCAACATTGTAGTTAGCTTTGCTTACTGGTTATTTGATAAAATAAAGGCAATCATCCTGCCTTTTTATCCTCACTAGTAAGGAACACCATTTATACAAAAAGAGGCCACTTTCTCTCAATTTTAAAGTGGAATGTTTTCTTGTATGTTGAAGTATGTCCACATCTTAAATATTTGACCTTTCAGCTTGTCTCGATTGGTCTTTTTAAAAAGCATATGCTTTAGTGATGTTTGAATGCAGATATGCTATCAGTATTTACAACTGTATAATAGAACAGTGGCCAGAACCAACACAGGTTTCGCTTCCTAGAAGTGGCCATACTCTCCACAAAACAAAACAAAACATGAAATATCACATTCTGAAAACTGTGATATTATTATTGCAACATGCAGAGGCTCAAGCTTACCTTGTACAGTTGTTTTAACCATTCACTTTGAATTTCACCGACCTATGAAATGTAAAAACAAACAAACATATATATATAATTTGGGCTCAGATCAACACATTTTTTTCAGTACATCTGGAAATCAGAATTTTTTTTTCTAGATTATTTATTTGTAGGTGTCAAAAATGGACAATATTTACGTTCCCGTTTTAATCTATGATAATGTGATGTCCCTATTTAAATTTCACAGATCGTGAGGGTAGAGGCAACAGAGGTTAACCAATTTGCAGTGAAGAAAAAGAAACTCATAACACTGACAACACAATAGATATTTAATTCATGTTTTTTCCTTTTAAATGCTATTTTCTCCTTCACTTGCACAGATATAATCATATATCACTGCTATTGCAATGTCTCAATTATCACAGAGTCACAGTGCCATGATAGCAGTATTATTGTGGACAATGTATTTTGATATCACAATTTATTTACATTGCTCCATGCCCACTTATTAATACATTTTAAAGTTATAAAATCTCACTTTATATCCTAACTACACAAAATTAAAGAAAAAAGGTTAGCCAATCTTCAACTATTTAAAATGTTCAAAGCTAAAGGACTAAAAATATTGCAGTCATGGTAAAATAAATAATACCCTCTCTCAGTTTTAAGCTTTTACTTACTAGGACATAATAAAAATAGTTTATTTTGCCCCTAGCAGGTTCAAAAATTATTAAATACCGTCCCACATAAACAACTGCACATTACATATTACACTGTGGAATTATTTATTTAACAAAAACTAAAGCAAAATGCAGATCTAGTGTGTGGTAAACTAATCTGATGTCTTGTAGGAGTATGTTTAGGAGGAGTAACTTAGGAGTAATCATTATCTATATGACTTTATCACTCTCTCAAATCAATGTGGAGCTGCTTTGCTTGGGGTCATTGCCCTGCAGCACGACACAATCTGGGCTGTCAGACAGATGTCCTTATATTTGAGTGTATAATACTTTTGCATACAGTAGAGTTCATGGCTCAATCACTGCAAGGTCCCCATGACTTCTGGCTGCTGTGCTGTGCTTGACGGCTTGTATGAGGTCTTTGCTGATACGCTGTGTTTGGTTATTGTCAAATGTGATACTGTGGATTATGGTGAAACATCTTCATCTTGGTCTGGTCTTTCTTAAGGACATTGGTTGAGAAATCTTGTGATTTGATGAGATGCAAATTTGCAAACCAAAGCTGTGCTGCCAAGTTAAATTAAATAAAATTAAATACAGATAAGAGGCTTGTTATATACTTATGTGGTATGTGTATTTTGACTTTTTTGCCATGGTGCCAGGTCTCTCTTGAAAATGAGATTTTTAATCTCAATGAGATTTTTTACCTGGATAAATAAAGGACTAATAATAATAATAAAAAAACCCTGGTTATAGTGTGAATCGGTTGATAAAATAGTGCAAGTTACAGCGCTGATGTAAACATCTATGATTGTTGGGAGCAGTTCTGATTGTACAGTCTGACAGCTGCAGGGAGTAAGGACCTGCGGAAACGCTCCTTCATGCATCGAGGATGCAGCAGTCTGTCACTGAAGGAGCTCTGCAGTTCAGCAACATTTACATGCATGGGGTGGGAGACTCTGTC